TTCCACCCCCTCAAGCTATCTGAAACAGAACAAGAGGCATTGTTTATTTACTGGTTTAAAGCCAATTCTCTTAGTAAAAACTTTTCTATATCTGAAATAGGAAGGATCAGTAATTTGCAATGTCTATTATAGCCTTTTAAGATGTGTTTTAGGTTGTTGTTTCAAAATTAAATATTTAAGGTTTTCACAGTACTGAGATAAATTAAGAAAGTTCATCTTTTACAAAACTACGTTCTCACTGTTCTCAGTTAGCCTTAGCCCTCAGCCAAAATTTATATCCAAGTTATGTGCCACACCCCAAATAAATGCTAACATCATCATAATAAGAAAAGAATGCTTTGGAATCACCACAATGAAAGCTTCCAGAATTATCTTGGTGACTGAGTCATAAGCAAAATCGCAGTGACAAAGATGGATAAGTCATAGGGATTAATGGAGACCTTGTGTCTCTGTAACTGTTAATTCTTCTACATCATAGGCTCCATTTCTGTTGGGGAGGTGAACAGACAATCTAGATGAAGAGTGTGGACATGGTGAGTCCTGAACATGTGCAGAATTTGCCCCGGTTCTGGTCCTTGTTGCTCTACCACACCTCTGCACTTAGCCAAATCCAAGCTCTACAGCCAAATATCTGCTTATCTTGAGCTTACACTGATACCTTAGCTATTCAACTGGCCCTAAAAAAGAGTTGGGATAGAATTGCAAAGAATGGGAAGGAGAGTATTTCTATTAAAGTTACTGGTGGTAAATGAAACCCATCATTTCTTCACAGGATTTAGCATGTGAGTTTACTTAAATACACTCTGGGTTATTACTGTCCCCAGAGAAAGCTCTCCCAAGGCTCCCTTTTTTTTTTTTTAGGTCTCTTGCTAACTTCTTTACAGTTCTTGACATTACAAAGAGCCATTGATTCTCTAGTAGAAAGTAAAAAAATTAACAATGGTAGCTCTTAACTAACAAAATGCAGTTTTAAGAATCTGAGTGCTCTGCCCCTCTGTCCCGAGTTCCCCATTGCTTCCTGTTGTACATCGATGCCAGTCAAAGGCATGCTATTGTTGGTTTGGTTTTGTTTTGAACAGATCTTTCTCTCTCCATTTTATTCCAAGACTTTTTTGATGGATGTGACAGAAATCTGAAAGCTGTAGTTTTTATTTATTTACTTAATAACTTATTTTTTAAGCTCCTGGAACGGTCATTTGCTTTACTCTGAGGAGTTATTAATTATGTGGTATGAATATGCATGGTTTTAGAGACTGCAAACAGTCTGCTTGCACGATGGTCCTATGGTAAAAGGCAGAGGAGCCTCATCATGGTACCCGTTAACACTGTTTTAGTTAAGAACCTGTCAGTCTCCACTGAAACTCCCATTATTCAGGATTTTTGAGCAATCTATAAATATTTGCTCTGGTAAAAAGAGCTCAGCTGAAAAGCTCCTATTTTTAGCTGGAGGTTAAGTTTGGTTGTTTTTGTTGTTTTCTTTTTCCATCTCCTTTTAAAAAGATGCTCTCAAGGTTAATGGAACTATAATTTGACCTCCCTTTATAATACCATGTCTGTTTGCCCTCTGTTTGTATTATTTCTTGTATGTATGAGTATTCCCCTGACAAATGTCTCACAACATGAGTCGCTACAAAAGATGCAGACCAAATAACAAAGCTCATATTAGCAGCCTGTTCAAGACTGAATTAAATAGCAGTCAGGTTATGGTATATCATCTGTCACAAGGTTTTGAATCTTTGTTAGAAAAAAATGTCCTGTAATTAATCCTATCAATGCTTGCTTAGGGAACTAATCATGCGACAGGGTGTACCTGTGCTGCCCTAAATGCTCAGTGAATGGGATAGTTTCTTGCCCTGACCCAATAAAGTGTTTTCACAGGGAGAGTAGCCTTTGTGACACATAGGTTTGATGGATTCATGTCTGATTAAATGGTATGTGGGTACTCAGGGTGAAGAAGTGGAACTTTTTTTCTTATTGTTCATCCTACAGCAAGCCTGTTAGTGGGAGCAATCAGAATTATCATCAATCACAGTGAACTGAACTGAGCTCAGCTGTCCTTATTATTAAAGGCCCAGACCAATTGCTTTAAAGGTTGTATGTTATAAACTCTTTTAAGGACTGTTGCACATTTTGATTATTTTTGTTGGTGTTCATCTACCTAGCTGGCATCATATACACAGATATAGACACAAAAGGGAAAATATTTGTTTGGCCCTCACTCATCTGTGTTTTTAATTTGAGAGGTAAGGAGTGGAGTTTTAAACACTGAGCTTTCTGTATTCATTCACATAATAAATCATACGTTTAAAATATACTTTCCAAATCTTGACCTTGGAAACTGAGAAAAGCAAGAATTCTGGTCGTAGTGCAATCTGAGTTTGGCCCATTAGGCCATAAAGAGAAGAATAAAAATGTTTACAATTTTGGTTCACATCACTGACAAGATATATGTTTAAAAGGTACAGAAACCACATCTAATTTCATGCTTACTGCTTCAACAGAGTCTGTGACATACAAATGTTACTACTTTATGTAAATATGTTAGGGAGTACTAAATTAGTGTCACATACAGACGTACATAGGACAACAAATGGATGCACCAAAAAGTGAGAATGAAGCCAGCTGTTGTAAAAGAGTGGCTGCTCTCCATCTGTTTTAAAAAGTTGCAGTGATTGAGATGGGTTCCTGATGGCTGGGAAGAAGGAAACATTACACCTGCTTTCCCTCAATTTATGGGAAGGTTGTGGAAGCTTGTGAAACAGCATCTGGAGTATTATGTCTAGTTTTGACCTTCCCAATACAAGAGACACACTGACACAGGGGGGCTGAGGTCAGAGGAGGGCCACCAAAATGTTTAGAGACTTGGAGCACAAGATGTTTAAGAGGATGGGAGAGCTGGGTCTGTCACCCCATGGAAAAGAAAAGGCAGAGGAGAGATCTTACTGCTGTCTACAACTGCTTAATGGGTTGCACCATGACAGGACAAGAGGCAACAAACACATCTGATTTCATATAATTTTTTTTCCCCATTGAGATGGTCAAACACTGGAATGTGTTCTTAGAAGAGCTATAAACTCTCCACCCTTGAAGATGTTCAGAACAGAGCTGAATAAGCTGCTGAACAACCTAATTTAACTAGGTCTGCTTTGAGGAGGAGGTTGGACTAGAGACCTTTGGGGTTCCCTTACAATTTGAATGCTGTATTTGAAGAAAATAAGATACTCTATTTATTGCAGGAATTGAATGGAACAACCCTAAGTCATGTGACTGGTGTTAAAAACATTGTACTTGAGAGTTCGTCAGTCCTCCAGTCCTTCACGTCTGTGTTTCCAAGTTTGCTCTGTCATAAGAGAGCAATTGGAATTGTTTCAGATTGTGCCTATCTCTGGGGTGTGGGGGGCAATTACAGTGACACAGGAGAAAATTTTCATGAGATTGTCACATGTGGAAAAGATTTAGCAGTAGCAACTTAGGTCATGGTGAAACTTGTCATCAACAAGGTTTTTTTAGGCTCATCCACTCCTGTCATTCTAAAGGATTTGGTTCATCCTATAGCCTTTCTGCAGGAGTTCTGCATCACAACAGTTCTACTGTTAACTCTACTGTAAAATTTTAGCAGTGTATAGAACTGGAACACACTAATTAGTGTAGCAAGCCCAGAAAATGCGTTATGTACAAAACAGTACACAATTAAAGCCATTCTTGTAACGGCTTTTCAGCAAGGATTTTGTAATTTTGTAAAAGGACTTAGGCTGGGTTTATACTAGTAAACTCAACTTGCCTGTGAGTGTTCCCAACCACTGAGGCCAACTGCTGTGGAACAATCTCTATCTATACTGCTGAACTGGGTTTGTCTGTGCTAGGTGGCTACAAGCAAGCTGCTGCTCGGGGGTGGTTCCTGGCATGTTCTCACTACCAAAACAGGTGCAGAAGTTGCCTGGGAAAGCAATAGCTGGAGCAGGCTAGTTTCATGCCAGGGAACTCTCTCACAGTTTATTAGCATAGGTAACAGTGTTGGAATTTCATAGGCACATCATGAGCGTGCTTGAATTTACTAGGTTTAGCATCTAAGGCAGAAGAACTAATAGATCTTTGGGATGAGAATGGAAGATTAAAACTTAGGCTGTGACCTATTCTTGAGACATCAAATTCTGTCAGATAACCCAGATTCCTTCCCAGTACTAGCCTGCTGAAGACTTTGGGAGGGGATGGCTCAGCCTTTTGCATTGGCTTCTGTCTTTATACCAGAACTTTTCTAGTTAATGTTACTTTAATGCTTTTCTTACTAGCGGTAACTGATATGGTGAGCCTTAGGTCAAGAATTAGTAAGCAAATTTAAAACTCAATTAGATTTCTCCTGTAACTGTTCTCATCCATGAATAAGTATGTGTACAGAGTCTCTTGCAAGGAAATAGTGCAGACACAAGAGTGAGAGTCCTCTTTAAGACAGTGAATTCTCTGTGACTTCAGCTAATAACAGCAAAAGTGTTTTGTTGTCCCCATGTGATACCTTGAAAAATCTTCTGTGGTATAAACAAGATTTATGTTTCAAATATCTCCAAATGAACAGAACTAGAAACAACACCCATTGCTACGGAAACCCAACTGGGCATGCACTGCAAACCCTAGAATGACAGAATAATGGAGAAGTTAAAGCTCAAGGGAGTTGTTTACTATATACGAGTAGAATGCTAGCTTATGCATACATAAAACAAATGTGCAATTTGAATGAACCTGGTCAAATAAGGACAATAACTGTTCTTGAGATGGAAGAATAGTAAGTGTTGAAGTGGGGCGATTGCTTGAGTCAGTTCTGACATGTTTTTTGTCTTTTTTGAACATTATTTTTATTCTAAGTATAGAAGAAAACCCTCCATTTTTTATGGCTTCAAAAACAGCGTAGGAGGAAAGTCAGTCCAATATTCCAAGGGCGTTACTGGTGCTCTGGCTCCAGTGCCTGCATACATTTCTTTGTTTTTGTTCATAATACAATTTTTCAGATGTGAAGGACAGAAAGCAAATGGCAGTGAGAATCTCCTGGCTTTCTCCTTTTCCTGCCTGTGGAATGCACTCATGCAAGATAGTATGGTACCAGAAGGTGACATGTTTTCACTGGATGGTCTCCTATTGTGGCAAACTGATGGTATCTGCTGCAATGATGTTATGATTACTTCACAGTTGATGGCAATCCTTTCTGAGACTGCAGGAACAAAGTCACTGAAATAATTGCCAGGTAAAGCCATTCACTTTTCAGTGTGAGGTCATTTCTACATCTGGCCTAGCAAAAGAAAATGTCTGTGGTCTTTCACAAATTTTTGAAAGCTTCTGTGCATGTCCAAGAATGCTCCTAGGAAAGCATCCACCAAACTTCGCTCCATGGAACCTACCGTGTGCAGGAGGATACGGAAAATAATTTTGACTGGTTGCAGGAGTTGTATCAGGATTTAGATTGGATATATTGCAGTAAGTGGCAAATGCTGGGGCTGCAAGGATAGATGTAAGAGGCCTCACTATTTTGCATTACATTCTACTTCTGACTAAAGAAGGAAAATTTTGTGAACTTGAAGAAGTTCATTGGCTCAAACATTTGGAATCACATCTCTGAAGCTGTTTCTCTGCTGAAATCAGTGAATAGACTTTCACTTAAGTTCTACTCCCTTAAACCTGTATGTAGGGATAGGAACAATGTCAGTGTGACACAGTAGACATCTCACAAACTTTTCAATTTATTTTCTATCAGCTGCTTTTTGAGTCTAATATTCAATTGTAAAACAACTATACATGATATTAGCATTGATGGCCAATAAGCCATCCATCTTCTTTTTATAGAAGCCACATATTGCTGTTTAATATTGGAGTCTTTCTCCACAAATATAAGGAATGAAAGAGTTTTGTTCTAATTTGAGACATTTTTTATACAAGTTTTAAGCTGGTCTTCAAAAACGATCCTTTTTTCTCCCTATTTTGAGATTGTGGACTTTAATACTAATACCACAAATATTTCTGGTCACTCTCCTTGAAGCAAGGAGAATTAGAACTGGTAGATGCAGAAGAGGGCAGTGAGAAAGATCAGAATGTGACAGTGATCCTGCCTTACAGTAGGAAATTGAAGGGAATGATTTGTTTAACTTTACAAAACAAAAGCAGAAATGGGATGTGTTTGCTGTCTGGAAATGTATCAGGTGGGTAAATACCAGAGAGGAGAAAAGGAGCCATGGGTGCTCCAGAATACAAATGTCTAGGAATAAATTTAAGCTTGAAATTGGAAAATAGTTTCTAGGCATTCTAACAGTAGCCCTGCAAATAGGATTCATGACTGCTTTTAAGATTAACTTGCTATGATTACAAATATGAAAGGTTGGTGTGGAGAAATAAAGCTGTTGTCAGGATACCTGTTGCAGAATGCATTGTGAAGAGATACTCCTGCATATTTTAACAGATATTTCTACCTACTCTAGCACTGATAGTTTTCAGCAGTTTTCAGCAAGGATTATTGCAGGAGGGCCCAACAGCAGCATTCTCAGGCAAGCAGTTCCTGAAATATCCTACAAAAGGGACATTTGGGATTGCCCCTTCCCTCACAGATCAAATCGTGCTGGTGAATTTCCAGCCACATGAGGACAAGAAAGATTATTCTGTGTCGTGGAAGAAAAACATAAGTAAAAGGCTAAGTTAATATGGACTGAAAGAAATGAGAAAAAAGCAGATCCTGTACACTGGAAACTTAGATTGTCCTAAAAAGTAGACAAATGGAGGCCAGTAAGTGATTTTTTTTTTTTATTTTTATTTATTTTTTTTTTTTTTTTATGTTTCCTGAAAGTATAGGAAGAAAGGAAGAAATTTCCCTCTTATCATGGAGTCAAGTCTCATCAAAATGGGTGAGAAAATTTACTGAATCACACCAAGAAGGTATGAGTGTCACAGTTTGACTGAAAGACTGCCCTTAAAAGATGAGAAGACTGGTGCCTTTCTGTGGAGAATGGCTCTGGTCTGACTCATGGGTGATGACCAAGCCATGAGCAGCTGAGACACAGCAGACCTGTATGGCAGATCCTGAACTTGTACCTGAGGGCTGAAGGCAGAAGAAATGCCCTAAAGCATTCATTGGCAAAATCGTTGAAGAGCAGCCTTATGTGATGAATAAATGTGAGTGTTTGAGAATTTTACTATTTTTTTCTTGCTTCATTATTATTTTGATGCTTCTTTTTTTCTTCTTGTGATCACTTCAAGGAGAGCTCTTTCCTATCAGGAGTTTACCAGAGATGCTCTGACATCAATTCCCATTTTGCACTCGAACCTGTAAAAATGAGCAACAGAGTCCAATCATGGATAAGTTAATAATCACAGGAGTGATTTGGACATGTCCAACAGAAAAGGGCTCCAGCCTTCAACAAGCCCAACTGTTTCACATGGTGATAATCACCATGTTCCCATGGTGATAATTCTGAGGTACAAACATGGTCCTGTCAGTCTTGAAACTGTTTTCATGGCTGTATGACTGTGGGTCTGCTAATCCACTTGGGCAACACAGAAAGTAGCAGAACAGAGGTCAGAACAGGTGATATGGTACATTCAGACATGACCTGTCCAGTAGAAGCAGTGCCCACACAGGTCAGCAGTGCCTCAAGAAAATGGCGTAGGCCTATTTGGGGTCTGCCTCCAATATCAGACTGCCCCAAACATGCAGTAACCTTCTGTCACCACTAATACCTACTGTCTAGATCAATGGTGTACACTGGAAAATAGGTCAGCTAAATTCCTCTCACATGTCTACATTATCCTTGTTGTGGAGCATACTGTACAGTGAGATATTTGGCCCTGAATGTGATTTATTTTTTTGCTTGCTTGCTACCATGCGATATTACTCTCACATTTTTCCAGTATGTCAGAACTCTGTGATACTTCTCCTTGCTCCTGCTTAGATAACACTATTTTATGTGTAGTTCATCCAATCCACCTAACAAAGTATGTAACCTTTTTACTTTAATATGGACCATGTGAGTGATACAGAAACCCAGTCCTGTTATTTTACTCATGTTTTAAAGGAGATTTATTGGCTGTTGGCATAAATAGCTGTTCTTGCCCTTGACTTGTTGCCTTGTGTTCAAAATGGAGATAAGATAGGTAAAGATTCTTCTTTACTTCACAGCAGTTTTTCAAGGTTAATGTAATTAATATGTCCTAACTATTGTCTGGAAGGTGCTAAGAGGATGGCAGGGTCTTATCACTATTGCAAGTAAAATGTCTGCTGCCTAATAAATACCTACAACGGTGCAACTGGAGCCATCAGAGGAAATTTTTCCTCTAACTTGCATTCAGCCAAATCAATTTGAGATGCTCTCGTCCCAACTTCAGTATAAGAGTTTAAGGAATATATGAAGCCATACTGAAAAATATTAATCAGCCAGCTGCTGGTGGTGACATCAGCTTGCCTCATACAAGGAACAAAGCATGTATTGCTAACTCTTTCTAAATAAAGCAGATGACTTTTCATTTTTCCTTTTTAAAGAGCAGATTTCCTTATGGAAAAGGAAAAAAATACCGCCTCACAACACCAAGGCAACCAGTCTCATTCCAGCACTTTCAGGTTCTGTTTTTATTGCTCTGGGCTCCCTCTTACTTCCAATTATTTATGGAACAAACTGTGAGTCACATGGTGGAGCTGGAATGATTCAGGAGTTTGTTGAGCGAAGAGAAACAGGAAAAGAAGGGTTTAGCGGTCCAGGCAAATGACATCAGTGCTTTGGCATCCTATCCCAGGCCTTGGAAAATGCAGCCCTTGCTGCAAGAAGGGTTGCAGAGCAATGCTTGGAGGCAGAAGCAGTTTGGCATTTTGACAAGCCAGCAAAATAATGCTAGTCATGGTCTTGTAAGATGTACCAATAGAGAGTAGTTAAGAGAGAAGTATGGATATGTAAGTTGTAGCAAGGGAAGTAGCTGAAAATACCAAAGAAAAATCCAATCTAGATGGGCAATTCTGCACCTATAAAAAGTACAGAAACTGTTAGGAGCATCTGATCTTTTTTAATATTCTTTATTGGATTGCCAGCACAGGTTTGCGTGGCTGGATTCTTTTTTTTTTCTTTCTTAAAAGTTGAAATTATGCCTAGGTGACAATTCCTGTGAATTCTACAAGCAAAAAGCCAGCAAAGAGTTATTTATGTTCCAGGATTATGAAAAGGAAATTGCCAGACACTCATGACAGCTATATATCTTTTGTCCCTTGATTCTTGAAACTGTGCTTTGGTGCCTCAGAAGAGATTATTTGTAAAAATTTGAGATGCTAAAGTAGCATGTTTGCAATGACGTATTTTCCTTTCAAAGAGGAGCTTTGGCTTAAGGACCACTCAGTGGCATAGCTGATAAGACCTGGTGAAAACCAGCATGTTGCTGTAGCTCAGCAGACAGTGCCTAGGACAGTGGTTGTCTCTGCAGTTCCTACAATACACAAGCAACACAAAAATCAGCAACGCAAAAATCAGTGGTGCCTGGTTCTTCTTGCAGTGCCTAGTTTTTCTTGCATGTATATACATTGGTATATACCTCAATGGAAAATCAAGTGAGTACTGATTTCAGGGTTTTTTTTTTTAATTTGATTTGTGAGGCACTGGCACAGCTATTCCCTTATTTGCTTACTTTTGTCCATTATAAACCATTTTTAAGGAATACATATATGTTTACTGTAGCAGTGAAGTTTTACTGACATGGTATCTGAAGACACACCTTGTGACAAGCTGTGGAAAACTATCATCTAAAACAACAAGCTCATAATGCAGAATATATTTTACAAACCACATTGTTAGGATCTTTCTGGTGGAATCATAGAATCATAGAATGGCCTGGGTTGAAAAGGTCCACAGTGATCATCTAGTACAACCCCCCTGCTATGTGCAGGGTCACCAACCACCAGACCAGGCTGCCCAGAGCCACATCCAGCCTGGCCTTGAATGCCTTCAAGGATGGGGGCATCCACAGCCTCCTTGGGCAACCTGTTCCAGTGCTTCACCACCCTCTGGGGGAAAAACTTCTGAAAGTTTTAGCTTCTGCAGGTATTCAACGCTGCTTCAGAGCCTCTCTGCCCCACACCCGGGAACTGCATTTCCTTTTTTTGCCTTTGGCTGTGGTTCAGTGCGAGGAGGAAAGGTAGTGCGAGGAGAGTAACAAATGTCTTTGTTTGGAGAAGTGACCGTCCCCACGAGACCTTTCCCTGCCAGTCGCTCCAGTGCTGCCACCACGGGCACGGCTGGCTCAGAGTTGCAAAAATAAACTAATGACTCAGTGGGAGGAAATCTGAGGAATGACGAGTGTTTAAAACAGCCTTAATTGAAGCCTTGTATTTTGTCAGCGTAGGCACGTGTTCAGGTTTACAGCACTCCAAGAAAGCATAAGGCTATACAGGGAAATGCTGCGGCAGCGGTGGGTTGGCGTGTGGGAAGAGGAGCTGGATGTTCCCCTGACAGTTCAAAGAGTGCACAGGAGAATGGCGAGCACTCCCATAGAGCAGCAGCCAGTCGGAAGCCAGCAGGCCCTGTGTGGTTAGTCGTGTTGGGTCACAAGATAAGACATTCACCGATGACTCCAGCACATGCTGCAGATTGCTCGCTTTCATATGTGGGAAGCACAAATGAAATCAGTTAATTCCCCTCTTTCCTGGCAAAGTAAACAAAATGGCTGTTTTGATTGGGTAGAATATTTCAGCAGCATCCAAATTTTGTTGACCTACTTCAATTTCTTTTCAAATCACATTTGGTCAATTTTTGAAGTAGAAAAAATGTTATATGAAGAAGTAGTCAATTATTTTGGCTATCTGCAGTTTTCACTTTTTTTTTTTAATTTAAACTGTTGTATGATTTTGTACCCAATTTTTAGGTCACTTACCCCCTCCAAGAAACAGCATGAATATGCTGTAGCTGTAGTTATAGCACATTGTAAATATATATACACACACACACACTATTTTAGCCCTAACTTGCCCAGATCTGGGTATAAGCAAGCATCAGCATCATTCCTCTGCTTTAGTTGCTCTATTCTGAAGAGGAATTCAGGTTCCTATATGTATTTTCATGCGTAATAGAAAACTATTCACTGTGATATTTCCCAAAATACTGTCTTCATTCTTCCCTTTAAAAATCTGAGACTTTGCCTGCAAGAAAGTGGATTTCTTTTCTCTGCAAGGAGAGTAAATAAGGATATTTCTGAAGAACTGAAATCAGAATTAGAAGTCTGTCTGCAAAATCTCTTCAGAGGAAGTCCCTAAAACCAGAGCTATGCCAATTATTATGAAACTCATTGTGAAACTGCATGGTTCTGACACAGGCAGAAGGTCCAATGGTATTAAAGACTATGGCTCGATATGGGATCTGGACATTTTCAGTGTTTTTACGTGTTACATCTTAGGGTTTGCTCTCACAACACTTTAGAGGAAGAGACTTGACTATGGGAAAAAAAGATTAAAAAAAAAAGAAGCAAAGGATTATTTTGCATTTGAAATCTGCTGTCCCAAAAGAGCTAGATTTTGCCTTGAATGTGTACATTATTAGGGGAAATCTGCTCTGAGCTAAAAGAGTAAAATGTGTTATGAAAACTGAAGGCTATGTGGATGTTTCTTGTATACTACAGTGTGAGAGAGGAGGATGGAAGTTGAATGGTTCCTGTGTTTTCAGCTATGGCCCTGGCAGCTGAGAAAATAAATGGCTGATTTAGCAAAGCTGAGGTCTGTTGCAATAAGAGAATAATTGTAATTACCAGTGGAATACAAAGCTTCCACACAAGGCCATTTACAGATGTCCCGTAACAC